CTCTCGCGAGTGGAGGCGGGGCCGGGGCGGTTCTCGGCGCGGGGATCCGGCGGCGTCTGGTCCGTCGTCCCTGCCGCGGTCGCGTAGGCGGCGGAGAAGCGGGACCAAAGAGCGCCTCCCAATAAAAAAAAGAAAAAAGAAAGAAAGAAAAAACAACAGCAACAACAACTGGCACCGAAGAGCGGCGAGACAAGACGGGGGGAGAGGCAGGCGTCCCCTGGCGGCGGCTCCGGCGCCGCCGAGCGCCGACCTCTGGACTCCAGGAAGAAGCGACATCCGCATTTCTCTCGAGCGGATGCGGAGGCAGCGACGGAACGAGATTGCGAGAACGATTGCGTCGCTCGACTCTCTCTCTCTCTCTCTCTCCTTTTTTTTTTTTGAGTATCGCAAGACGCTGGGCAGAGAGATCCATCGGCAGGGCCAGGCAGGCCTCGACCCAACCCAAACGGTGGGTGCACGCTATAGCCCGCCGCGAGGAACATAGATGCAAGACGTAACCCGCCCACAGTGTGTCCCCTTGTGATGGCAGCCTTGTGCAGTGCAGCCCAGGAAGCAACACAGCATTGTGTTCGCGGGCCTACACGATGGGCTTTCAGATCTGGTCTGATTTTTTTTTTCTATACGTCTTTGTTTTTACGACTTTCTATCCGCGAGCCTGAAATTACGTACCTTCATCAACTCCGAGTAGTCAGCTTGACTTCTCATATGATTGTGTTGCGACGTTCCACGCTAATATGTTGAACGGTTGAAGCAAAAAAATGCCAAGAATTCCCCTAAACTTACTGGCCGATGAACTGATGATGGGTGCTAGACAACCAGCTGAAACGAACACTCACGGCATGTTTAGTTTCCTACTAAACTTTAAACTTTAGTCACTTTAGCTATTAAACTGTTAAATAAATTGATTAAAAAGTAACTAAAGTAGCTTAGTCACATTAGTACCCAATGAAGTGCTAAAGTGGGCTAAAATATCTAGTGGACAGGGGTTGCCTCCCATTATTGCTGGTCTCTTACCTTTATTTCTACATTTATTAAGAATAGTTTGATTTTTTTTGAACGGCTTTAATAGTTTTTAGTCACTTTTAGTTATTAGAAACCCAAAAAGCAGTGACTAAAATTTAGTATTGATTTTAGTAGAACCAGCTAGGCCTGCAAAGAACGCGGTGGCGACGTGGTCGTCCACGTCCACCGCTACCTACCCTCTGAAGTCTCGAGCATTCAAGCAACCACTACTACTTCCGGCCCGGCGTGCAGCGGACGCCGTAGCCATCGGGGAGCAACGACGACAGCGACGGCAAGTCGTCACGTTCCCTCCCCCTGACCGGGCCACGCCACCGAACCTGGCAAGTGGCACATCTCCCCATCACGGTAGGCTCGCGAGTTGATCGTTTGACTCGTTGTACGCGCGACCGACGCGACACGGTCGTTTCTGCTACTTTTTGCGAAGCCGCAGAACACCGACGAGGACGCCGCGGGCCCGCGGCCAGCGTTGCCCCGCCCCCGCCCCCACCCCCAAGGAGCGCTGCACCGCGGTGCCAATGGACAGCGGCGACTGGGGTTAATCAGCCGCGCGGTGGCCGCCGCCGGCGACGTGACTGCGATATGTGCGGTGGGAAGTGGCCGAGTGGGGAAGGGGAGGTCATACTTCGCCTTGGGTCTGTAGCCTATTCCTTTGTAGGTGAGCAGCCGGGCGTTGGCGGGTCGATCTCCACCCAGAATATCCGGCGGCGCGCGACGCGAGTTTATTCCTGGCTTTTCTTCCGCCGCGGAACGTGTCAAAGGCGTCGCGTTCTTTTCCGTTCCCCGGGTAATATGGTCCCGCGGGAGCGTGACGGCTTCACGGAAGGAATCCAGGCCGCTGATGATGCTCATCGTTTGGTGTCGTCGCGTGCGTGCGTCTCTTCTCTGCAACTAAAAAATCTATAAAAAAATCGTTGATAAGCGTGCGATAAAAAATCCTATACGACATTCTGCCTCTCCCCTGCGATCCCCGCCTCCTGCCCGCTGATCCGTTGAATTTGAACGCCGGGCTCTCGTCCATAAAAAAAAAAAGGCTGCATGAGAGAGAGTTATGATGCCCGCTGCATGCAACCGTAAAGAAAGGATTTTTTTTTCTGTACCCCATACACAGCCCACAAAGGCAGGCGGTGGTAGGCAGGCGGGTCCCCACTCCCCTCACCACCGCATGTCATGTTGCCGTACTATCCGTGTGTTGCTAAAAAAACTAAACTTTTATATTAAAAACACACTGATCGTATAATAAGATAACAATACTGTAAAATTATTACGGTATTGTTATCTTATCATACGATCTGTGTATTTTTAGTACAAAAGTTTAGTTGTCCTCTAGCAACGCACGAATATGAACCTAGTCGAGGGAAAAAATTGGTACACAAGAACACAGTTTCGTACGTATGTGCGCCGTATCCGGATAGCAGTTTGTAGCCGAGCAGAGTGACGGAGTGTCTGTGCATTCCTGACACGGAGTTTCTACAGGCAACGAAAAGGTCTGTACCCCTGAAGCTTGACACTCTAGTACATTCAGGTGAGCCTTTTATTGTGTACTGCCGCATCGTATCTTAGGCTATAAGTTGACTGATGGTATTTTGCTGTGGAAAAAAAAACGTTATATTATGACTGATAAATATGATTGATATGATCAAACGAACAGGGCGTAGACTATTCGGTTTTTTCCCCTATAATTATTGATACGACTGGTTGCTGTCATTATCTCAGAGAAGTCGTCTGATGCATCCAAGCCAGCGCAATTCGGCAGGCGAGGCAACCTAATCACAGAGGAAATTCAGTTAAAAAATCAGAGAGAGTTGCACTGGAATAAGCAATTAAAGCAAAAGATCACGGGACTGGCCGTTGCCGTGACTCTGTCGTCTGTGAGGACACGCTGTCGGTCATAGCTTGTCACTGTACAACCACGGATCAGCAACCTTTTTCTTTTTCTTTTTCTTTTTTTACTATCGTTTTCCTTCTGCCTCACCGAGTGTCCGGGCTTGCGGTCCAGACCAAGTCTAACAATCTAACCTGTGCGCACACGACATGGTATGTGATCCAAGAAGATGATGGCGCATGTGTAATCCATTGGAGACTTGGCCCGTTACTATCGCCGGCATTGGAGTCATACAGCCTGGTTGATAGGGATGATGGCTATAGCATCTCATTCTACTAGTACGGTAGTACCAGTGTTGCAACGAAATACACATAAAAAATGATTTGTAGCTAAAAGATTTATATAATGGAGCATCATCTGTTTTAATATGTACTGAAATTAGATTGTGTCATTGTTGAACGCACAAATATCAACGTTTTAACTCGTATAAGCAAGGATCACAAATTCAAATCCTAAACGATACAAGGAGACACAAAACATTGTGAGAGACAAAAGAATATGGGGAAAATCTTTTCAAGATGTATAGTATAAATACAGATAGAGATAGCTGTTGCGTGGCTGTTTGGAGAGGCTCGAGGCAGCTACAGCTGCAGAAATTGTTTATACCAAAGTGACCTATACAGATATAGATAACTAATAATTATTTTACTTTAACTATTCTAGCTGTTTGGGGAGGCTGCAACAGCTACAGCTGCAGTAGCTATCTATACATACATGAGACAGAAGAAAATCTGCAGCAAAAGGTAGCACTTCACCTATTTCCGTCACAGTTTTATGCTACCTGGACATGTTACGAAAAGAAGGGGATTTGGACACCCGTATCAGCAGGACACCAGGTCTTGTTGTCACCTCTGGAAATCCTGAGATGATCCACCGATCTATGCAAAATGTTTATTTGTCTTGGAAGATGAAATTCATGTAAAATGTAAGCATGCATCAAGTATTTAAGTCTCTTTGGCCCATGGCGATACCAAGGATGTTTTTATTAAATCCTAAAGAAAATGGAAACATAGCAAATTTCTTTTTGGAGAAATGGTTCTAAATGCTCTCCTTGCTAATTATTAGTTTCACGAAATTAGTGAGGTGGATTTTGGCGGAAATAACTTGCTCAAGGACGTTAGATATATATAAACACATACTCTCCGTTTTCAAATTATAAAATGTTTATTTTTTTTCTAAATACATAGGTTTTTATATGCATCTAGTAGACATAATATATATATATAACTGGCGAAGGAAGGTTTTTTTTCTTTACAAAACCGAGACCAGCAGATTTTCTAGTTGATCATCAATCAATTATATGGAGCAGTGAGCACTGCCCACAGTGCTCACGCGGTACGATGTCAACCGATCCACCTTATCAATTTTTCGGAAAACAAACGAAAGACAAGTCAAAGGCCCTCATTAAAATTTCAACGTAAACTAAGCCCTAAATCGCTCTTTTACCTATATTTTAAAATCAAAAGAAATTGATATCCCCACCAAACATGCTTTCGAGTTGCGAACACGAGACGATTGTCCACGTGGCCACCGCGCCCAGTCCACGCTCCGCCCCCCGCCCCCCCCTAAACCCGCGACCAATCCCGACCTCTTCCCCAAATCCTCAAATCCGCCCCTCCTCCGCCTCCACCTCCACCCTTGCGCCGCGCTTTCACGGCCCTCCCCACCTCCGGATCCAGATCCGCCGCCACCAACGCCTGCTCCTCCCCCCTCCTCCTGCTGCTGCACCACCACCACCACCCGAAGACCAGCAGCAGGGGTAGCGCGGCGGCGGCGGCATGGGACGGGACGGCGGTGGCGGCGTCGCCGGCGGCATGTCTGACTCGGTGCTCCGGAAGGTGCTCCTCTCCTACTTCTACGTTGCGGTGTGGATCTTCCTCTCCTTCTCCGTCATCGTCTACAACAAGTACATCCTCGACCCCAAGATGTACAACTGGCCCTTCCCCATCTCGCTCACCATGGTGCACATGGGTTTCTGCTCGTCCTCGCCGTCGCGCTCGTCCGCGTCCTCCGCGTCGTCGACCTCCCGACCTCGCCCTCCATGACGCCGCAGTTCTACACCTCCTCCGTCGTCCCCATCGGCGCGCTCTACGCGATGTCGCTCTGGTTCTCCAACTCCGCCTACATCTACCTGTCCGTGTCGTTCATCCAGATGCTCAAGGCGCTCATGCCCGTCGCCGTCTACTCCATCGGCGTCCTCTTCAAGAAGGAGACCTTCAGGTCCTCCTCCATGCTCAACATGCTCTCCATCTCCTTCGGCGTCGCCATCGCCGCCTACGGCGAGGCACGCTTCGACGTGCGCGCGCGTCGCCCTGCAGCTCGCTGCCGTCGCCTTCGAGGCCACGCGGCTCGTGCTCATCCAGATCCTGCTCACATCCAAGGGCATCTCGCTCAACCCTATCACCTCGCTCTACTATGTCGCGCCGTGCTGCTTCTGCTTCCTCGTCGTGCCCTGGGCCTTCGTCGAGCTGCCCAGGCTGCGCGCCATCGGCACCTTCCAACCGGATTTCTTCATCTTTGGGACGAACTCACTCTGCGCCTTTGCGCTCAACCTTGCCGTCTTCTTGCTAGTCGGCAAGACCTCGGCGCTGACCATGAACGTCGCGGGAGTAGTCAAGGACTGGCTGTTGATTGCCTTCTCGTGGTCCGTGATCCGGGACACCGTCACCCCGATCAACCTGTTTGGCTACGGGATCGCGTTTTTAGGGGTGGGCTACTACAATCATGTCAAGCTGCAGGCGCTCAAGGCTAAGGAGGCGCAGAAGAAAGCTGCCCAGGCTGATGAGGAGGCTGGGTCGCTCTTGCTGGAGCGCGACGGGCACGGTGATCGCAAGAGCGACAATCAGGCTTAGAGTGCCGGATCTGATCCTGGCTTCCCCATATTGGTGGGTTCTTGATCCATTCATGCTATTGCTACCGTTGTCACTTACATGTGAGAGAAGTGCTTGTTCTTAGCTTGCATTGTGGTAGAAGAGTTCATCTTGAGAAAGATGTTATGTTCACATTTAACGGATGATAATTGTGGTATCTTTTTGTTGCAATCAAACATCAATCTTGCATTGTGGACCATGGGCTACTAAACACATCTATTTTGTCTACACTTATGAAATAGAATTCTACAAAATTGTTGTTTGAATATGTTACCCCTAGCCTGGAACTGAAATATACCTTTTGAACAAAATAAGGATATTTGGAACTAATAAAACTAGTAATTTTGTTGTTCTACTAGGTCATTTTCATGTTCTAATTTTGCTGGAATATTGTACAGGGGATCTGATGCAAGGTGCAAAGACTGGAGTTTGGTCTACGGTTGCTTTCAAGGAGGTGTATGCCGGTTTCTTGCACTTCTTTAACTTTGTGTCTGAAGAGCAAATCAGAATATTTATGGGTTAGGAAATATGCACCTGCTTGCTGGAGAGCTTTGCCCTGTTATTTATTGAGACACTTTTGTTCTACAGATAGGCAGCCTTGCCTTACTACCTCTCTTGTCCATTGCCTAAATTTATTTGTTCTCCTAGTAGATTAGGGACTAAAGATGTACTGCTGCAGATTGTTAATTTGGTGGTTATTTTCGATATATAATGAGCTTTCTGTAATCTACGAGTTGAGTTGAGTCTTTCTCTTGCGAAGTTTTTTGTTTATTCATGTTCTGGTCTGCGTGTGTATGGATTATTTTTACGGGTGATAATTATTGTTAGGATGTCTTTTTCAGATTTTAGTTGAGATGTATATAGGCCCCGTTAGCTTCGCTGAAAAAACAAGCCGAAATACTGTTTCGGCTGATTTGTTGTGAGAGAAAAACATTGTTCCGACTGAAAAAACAAGCTGAAAAAGATAGATTATAAGATAAGCGAACATGGCTATAGTCTACATCTCTTTGCCATGCAGATGGTTACATTGGTAGGAAAGTCTTACAAATCAGGAGATTTGTCGAGTGCCCCTGGCACTCGGCAAAGCCTAAAACAAACTCGGCAAAGGGTTTGCCGAGTGTCACACTCGGACTCGGCAAACGACACTAGGTGAATTTCTGTCGGCAAACAGACTTTGCCGAGTGTTTTTTGTCGGACACTCGGCAAAGACTTCGCCGAGTACCCAAAATACACTCGGCAAACATGTTTTTCGAAAAAAATACAGGCCGACACCACGCCCGCACCACCAGCACCGCCGCCGCCACCACCATCCGCGTCGCCGTCCCCTCCGCCGCCTGGGGTGTGTCGGATCTGGAGCTCAAGGTGGTGGAGCTCGTCGGATCTGGAGCTTGAGGTGGTGGAGCTCGCCGGATCCACGCTGCCACGCCGGAGGGAGCTCGTCGGAGGGAGAGAGGAGAGAGGGCGCGCCGGAGATGACGTAGAGCTGAGGTGGAGGAGGAGTGTCGCATCGCCGGCCCGACGCCGGTGGAGAAGCGCCGCCACCTCGCTCGCGCCTGCCGGATCTGGGCTGCTCCACGCCGGATCCAGGATGCTCCTCACTGGGGCGCGCCAGATCCACCGTCGGAGCGCCGCCGGAGCAGACCTCTGCCCCGCTCGTCGGCTGCCGCCTCCATCCCGAGAGAGAGAGAGAGAGGGGGCGGGCGGAGGAGGGGAGGGAGGAGGAGAGAGAGGGCGCGGGCGGAGGAGGAGAGAGGGCGCGGGCGCGGCGGCACCGGAGAACCGCCGGGAGGGAGGAGGAGAGAGGGGGGCGGTTCTGGGGAGGGAGGAGGAGAGAGGGCACGGAGCAGAGAGAGAGCGCGGTCGGTTCTGAGGAGGAGAGGGAGGGCGCGGCGGGGAAGAAGAAGGGGAGGGCGGATCTGGGGTGCTGGACGCGGATAGGAGAGAGAGGGCGCGGGCGGTTAGGAGTAGATATTTTTGTTGTTTGCCGAGTGTCCTAGATGGGGCACTCGACAAAGTGTTTTTAAATTTTGTTTTCTTCTTCTACTTTTTTTTGCCGAGTGTTTTGGATCTGAGCACTCGGCAAAGTTTTTTTTCATTTTTTTTTCTTCTCCTTTTTTTCAGAAAAAATATTTTATTTTTGTTTGCCGAGTGTATTTTTTTAACACTCCGCAAACAACTTCTTTGCCGGGTGTTTTTGTTTTGACACTCGGCAAAACGTCCTGTTTGCCGAGTGTTTTTGGCGCGGCACTTGGCAAAAAAAAAACACTCGGTAAATTTCAGGATTCCGGTACTGATATCTATTTTCACATGCTTGTTACAGTAGTAAGCTTTCGGCTATAAAACAAATTAAGAATCTACATGCCAACAGCTGGCAACAGGTCTCAACAATTTGCTGCAGCTTGCTATTCACATTCAGCCTGTGGTACCGTTTAGTTCCCTCCCAAAATACCAAATTTTTCAAGATTCCTCGTCACATCAAATATTTAGACGCATGTATGAAGTATTAAATATAAATAAAAAATAAAACTAATTACACAGTTTAGACGAAATCCACGAGATGAATCTTTTAAGCCTAATAGATTATGATTGGACATTAATTACCAAATAACAACGAAAACTACTACAGTGTCATTTTGCCAAAAAAATCGGCATCTAAACAGGCCCTATGTCATGGGGTCGGGGATCATAGCTCATTAATTTTGCTTGCTTCTTCATAGAACTAGGTTGAGCTACATAGGTCATTAATTTCGCTTGCTTGTTGAGATCAAGCATTATATGACACTTCAATTTGCATCTTGGTCCACTGCTGATTGAACTAGGTTGGTTGATGGTAGGTGAGCATGATATGGCTCAGCTGACTTATTCCCGGTCCTGCATCTCCCGGCTGCTGTGTGTTACTCCTTCCTGCGATTGCGATGGTTCCAACAGCTTAAGCTTCCAATCCAAGCTGAATTAGGTGCAGAGTGGTAGGGTCTCCTTTGTAGTTTAGAATCACAGTTGCTTGAAATCCAGTGACAGCAAGCTTGGGGAAAATGTGATCTCGTAGTACTTGCATATTTTAAATTTGCTTGTTGGGACTGCATTAGTTCTTGGTGTTGTGTGCCTGCAAAAATGACGCCATTGAACATTGGGGCTGCAACATCTGCCTGAAACAAGATTGGCCTTTTTGAACCGTGCACTTGGTGAGGTTCTACCTGTGCTTCAGAATTACCTGGATCAGATACTTTTTAAATTACGTTCAAATGACTGAAATTTGTGGACTTGGGCCCTTGTTTGTTGCTTCCAGACTTCAGACCCAGAAAGATTTCTTAGGACCGACCAAATTGGAAATTGAACTCCGCCTACGGTGGGGCGCTTTTGGTGTCCCAGCATAGCAGGTTCTAAGTCCTGGTAAAGGAGGAGGGTTGTGTTAGACGCGCGAACCAATGTAAAAACTTAGCTACTTTAATGGAGATGAAATCCAAAAGAATCCCGTTGGGGCGTAACCCTCTTAGCGACGCGCCATGTTGGAACCCGGGTATGGTGTTAAATGAGTAAGGGTCGGGTCGTCACCCCCGTGACGCGACGTGTCGCGATCTGGACATGGTGTCAAGTGAGCAAGGATCGGGTCGTTGCATCCTTAGTGGCGCGCCACATTGGCGCTCAGGTGTGGTGCAAAATAAGTAAGGGTCTTCACACCTATCTCGGCGGGTGCGAAGGGTAAGAAAGCTAGTCGAGCCGACTAGGATCCGTTTAGGTAGCTGGAATATAGGGTCCCTTACAGGTAAGTTAAGAGAGTTATTGGACACAACGGTTAGGAGGTGTGTAAATATCTTATACGTCCAAGAGATTAAACGGAAGGGGCAGAAGGCGAAGGAGGTGGACAATATCGGCTTCAAGCTCTGGTACATAGGGACAATTTCAAATAAAAATGGAGTAGGAGTTTTGATTGATAAGAGCCTCGAGGATGGTGTGGTGGAGGTGAGAAGGCAAGGGGATAGGATCATCTTAGTTAAACTTATCATTAGTGATATGGTCTTAAATGTAATTAGTGCGTATGCCCCAAGTAGGCCATGATGAGAGTGCTAAGTGGATTTTCTAGGAAGACTTAGATCGCTTGGTTAGAGCTGTCCCTAGTAGCGAGAAGCTCTTTATATGAGGTGATCTTAATGGCCATGTAGGTACATCAAGTGCATATTTTGAGGCGGTTTATGGGGTTTCGGATATGGTAGTAGGAACCAGAAGGGAGAGTAAGTCTTAGACTTCGCCATAGCTTTTGATCTGATGATAGCTAATACTTTCTTCCGTAAGAGACAGTCCCATTTAGTGACTTTTAGTAGCGGCCAGTACTCTAGTCAAATCGACTTTGTCCTTACAAGGAGGGATAAACGAACATGCGTGGACTGTAAAGTGATACCTGGAGAATGTGTGGTCGCTCAACACAAGCTGGTGATAGCTGACTTCCGCTTTTCTGGTGCAAGCTCGTGGGAATAAACAAGCTAGGGTTGCTAGAACGAAGTGGTGGAAATTAGAAGGGGAGACATCAAAGGTCTTTAAGGAAAAGGACATTGAAGAGAACTCTTGAAATGATGAAGGCGATGTAAACAGCATGTGGGAGAAGATGGCAACATGTGTTCGGAAGGTTGCTTCAGAGGTGCTTGAAGTGATCAAAGGGAGCGGATGCGACTCGAAAGACACTTGGTGGTGTAATGAAGATGTGTAAAAGGCTATTAAGGAAAAGAAGTGGTATAAGCGCTTGTATCATGACAGGTGTGCAAACAACATAGAGAAGTACAAGGTGGCAAAGAAGACTGCAAAACGAGCGGTGAGTGAGGCAAAGGGGTGGGCCTATGAGGACCTTTACCGATGTTTGAGTACGAAGGAAGGAGAGAAGGACATTTATAGGATTGTTAGGGCTCGCGATAGGAAGACAAGTGACTTCAACCAAGTCAAGTGCATAAAGGATGAGAGAGAGCAGCTCTTAGTGAAGGACGATGAGATCA